GCTATATTAAAATGTAAAAATTTGTTTATTTCCTAACATAATTTGACCATTATTGAATATGTATGTTCATGATTGTAGCTAATATATGAAGGTTTGGTTAATTTAACTAGCAGTAATATTTATTTTATGATTTGAATAGTAACTTTTTCTGAAATTACAGCGTAAATTTTTATTACTTTCTTAAATAGTTTAAAAGTCACTATTCATTTAAAGATACTGTTGAACTTTTCATTTATCAAAGAGTTCAACAATTACAACTGAACTGCGACAGGGCTCAAGGAGAAGTACAAGTGTTGGGTATTGTTCAAAGTAGTTCGCGTATAGAAAATAAAGAAATTTAGTTATTTTATAACATATTTGGACAACTATTTAATGTTTATGTCATTGCTTACACTACATAAATTAAGAATCGGTTGATTTAGCAAGCAGTAATATTCATTTTATAATTTGAACAGTACCTTATTCCTGAATTGCAGCGTAAAATTTCCCATACTTTCTTAAATAGTTTTAAAATCACTATTGCTTAGTAGATGCAGTTGAAGTTCTGGGATATCAAAGAGGTACAACAATTATTGCAAAGTGCGTCGTACAGAACAAAGACTAGACTAAGGACGAAGTACAGGGTCTACTAGGGTCCAATGTTCAAAGTAGTGGGTTATATTAAAATTTAGAAATTTATTTATTTTTTAAAAAAATAAAACAATTATTAAATACTTATATCCATGCTTGTAATGCTTAAATTAAGAATGAAGAATTTAACAAGCAGAGCTTTTTTTTGTTTGATAATTTGAACAGTAACTTATGTTTAACTTCAGAGTAAATTGTCAAATACTTTCTTAAATATTTTATAGTCTCGATTTATTGGTGCATTTAAACTTCTGATACATCGAAAAACTGTAATGATAATTTAAAAATTCATCTTTAAAATAAATTTATTTATTTTCTAATACAACAGGACAATCGTTGGTAATTATTTAGATGAGGACCGCACAGGTTGCACGTGGTTCACAATCACATCGGTCACACTTGTTCATGAAATGCCGAAAACAGTCTTTCGGGTAAACCCGGATGCATTCGGCACTCCGAGTGTGATCGAAGTGATTGTGAGCCAGGCTTAACCTATACATCTTTATCTAAATAATTACCCAATCGTTTATCATTCACTTTCAACATTCTTTATACATATATCAATAATTTAGTAATTTAATAGGCAGTAATATTTATTCGAAATCTTAAAATGAATCTTATTTTTAAACATCAGAAAGACACTTCAATTTCTTTCTCAAACAGTTTTAAAATTATGATTTATTTGTAGTTGCAGTTATACTTCAGATTTATAGAAACAATTAAATAAATAAAAAGATGTGCATAGGTACAAACCTGAAACTTCGACAAATGCTAATAGAAGCAAATGAAGTATAGTATGTTTATGTTCTAAGTAGTACAATATAGAATAATAAAGAATTATTTTCTTCCACGTCATAGACAATTGTTAAATTGTCGTAACATTTATTTAAAGGTTATGTTACATTTACTTAAATTGTTAAATTTATGTACATGCTTGAAGTTATACAGATATATATGTGTATTAGTAATTGGTCAATCGAACTCTCAATAATAAATAAAATTTTTTTTATATAATAAACAATACCTTATTTCTATAACGTAACATTTGTGTTTCTTTCTCAGATAGCTAAAACGTAGTAATTCGTTAGGAGTAGCAATTAATATTTTTCAAAATGAATAAAGAATTAAATAAAAAATAAACAATAATGAATAAATTTCATTATAGCGAAATGCATTGGTTCCCAGCTGACTATGATGTGAGGGCGAAGTACAATTTTCGAACTGGCTCAGACATGTACAGTCCATTGTTTAAATTCAATGATTTCTTAGAGAATATTTTAATTTGCATTTATTCTCTCTACTAACAAGTCATTGAAGGATTGATAATTATTTATGTATATTTTATTACTTTCATAATTTCATTCTCTGAGGCATTGTTAATTTAAAAACAAACATTTATTAAATTCGTCAGTACCTTATATTCGAATAATTGAGAAGCATTCTCGTTACGTTCTCAAAGATTTGTAAATTTGTTAAGTTCTTATTAACAGCAATAGATAGCGTATATATATTGCAGTTATATCTCAATTGCTATGATTGTTACGAAGCGCACCGGTACACAGCTGGCACTGAACTGAAGTGACGATGCAGTATGCCAGTGTTACCACCCCTCAATAATAAATAATATAATTATAACTTTTTTAAATATTTTAAAAATTTGAATTTGAAAATCATACAAATTCATATAAATTGTATGTGTTAAATATTTTTAAAAATAAAATTGGTCAAAAATATGAAATTAACTCAAAGTAGCGCAGCCATCGATGTCATGTCTTTGAATAAAATGATACAAGAATATTAATACTTGTAAGATACTAATAGTATTATAATTTAAAAACGTTTATAATTTTAACAATAAATAGGCTAAGTTCCTAAACTCAGCGCTGAACTCATCGGTGACATCTTTTCGTCCAGTTTAATACGATGAATTCAGCGCTGAGTTAATAAACTTTAAAATCTATAATTAAAATTTAAAACCTTTTAAAATGATTATATCAACTTTTACTATCTTGCCAGTATTTATATTCTTGTACCATTTTATCCATATATCTGACATCGCTGGTTACACTACTTCGAGTTAATTTCATATATTTGACTAATGACTGTCATATTCTTGACATCTACTAAGCAATAAAGATTGTTAAATTATTTAAGAAAGTAATGGAAAATTTTATGCTACAATTCAGAAATAAGACACTATTCAAATTATAAAATAAATACTACTGCTTGTTAAATTAGCCGATTCTTAATTTATATAGTATAGGCAATGACATAAATATTCAATAATTGTCAAATTATGTTAAAATATAACTAAATTTCTTTTATTAATTACTGTTCAAATTATCAAACAAAAAAAATAATCTCTTCTTGTTAAAATCCTCATTTTTAATTTATGGACTACAAGTACGGATATAAGTATTTAATAATTGTTCTATTGTATTTAAAAATAAATAAATTTCTAAATTTTAATATAACCCGCTACAGTGAGCATTGGACCCTATACCCTGTACTTCGTCCTTAGTCTAGTCTTTGTTCTGTACGACGCACTTCGCAATATTTGTTGTACCTCTTTGATTTACCAGAACTTAAACTGCGTCTACTAAGCAATAGTGATTTTTAAACTATTTAAGAAAGTGTGAGAAATTTTACGCTGCTATTCATAAATAAGATACTGTTCAAATTATAAAATAAATATTACTGCTTGCTAAATTAACCGATTCTTAATTCATATAGTATAAGCAATGACATAAATATTCAATAATTGTCAAATTATGTTAAAAAATGAGTAATTTTTTTTATTTTTTCCACACGAGCACTACTTTGAACAATGCACTTCTCTCTGAATCCAGTCGCACTTCTGATGTAATTGTTATAGCTCTTTGATAAATCAAACGTTCAACTGCATCTTCAAATGAATAATGAGTTCCTTAAACTTATTAAGAAAGTTATGAAAATGTACGATACAATATTGGAATAAAGTACTGACTGCTTCGAACATCGTCATATCACACTTAATGGGGTTATGGTGTGAACGTGTTCATACATCACTATAATTATTGTCTACGAGATAGATTATTATATGTATAAATAAAAAAATAATGGGGAAATCTTACTTTTTTGACCACATCTTTTTTAATATCTTTATAAATGGCCAGAGTGTTATTATATTTGTTACTTAACCGAGAGAGGTATGCTTCTTTTTTCCTTTTTATTAATTCCAAAAGGTTATTAGTCATCCATTTTTTACTCTGTCTATGCTTATCCTTTTTGGGTTCTAATACGTCCGCAACGATCTTCCTCAGTATTCCTTTCAGGTATTCATAGATCTGTGTAGAATTCCCTATAAATGTTTCATTTAAGCTTTGATCTAATCTTCTTTGGTACATTAATCTAATGCTGTCATCTTTCAGTAGTTGAATTTCCATTTTTTCATCCACTATCTTTTCCTCTGGACTGTTTATCTTTAAGACATTTATTATTTTACAAGGAAAGCCTATTTTAGCTTTAAGGAAGTAATGACCAGTTCCTGTATAGGTTCTTGCATCGTTAACCACCATCGAGGTCCTCTGTTTTGTTATAACATAATCTATTATGGAGTAAAAGTTCTTTGTTGGTTGGTGCTGTGTATATTTATGTATATTCCGATGTTGGAAAATCCAGCATTTCCCCATTGTCAATGGTAACGTCCTCTCCAACACTTCCAATAACTTTAATATTGTAATCCGTTCCAACTCGACCGTTTAGACCACCCATGAATACTATTTACTTCCTCTTGGGAACCTTTTCAATAATATCCCCCAGTTCTTCCCAGAATATGTTCTTCTCGCCTTCAGAGCTGAAACCATGTGCATATGCTCCTATTATACATATTTCCCTTCCGTATATCGTCAGGTCCAAAGTAAGAATGCGTTCATTTATGAAGTCCCAATTAGTAACATATTTTCTAAGCCGTTTCTTAATCAGTATGCTAACACCAGCCTTAGTTCTTTTATGCTTCTCTAAACTACTACAATTATGTATGTGATTTCAGATATTCTCATAACCAGTTCCTTTTTTTTTTTACTGTTCGGTCAGAACGGCGATGTCCACTTCACATTTTTCTAATTCGTCCATTATTATATCCTTCTTACTGTGCATTCTCTGAACGTTCCAACATCCAAAATTTAATATCCATTTCTAATTCCGTACTCTTTGCTGTATAATCAACCCAGTTATCCGAAGCTGTTTATTATTTTTTCAGCAAGTGATTTTGCTGACTGGTGAGCTGGCCCAGCGCAGAAATCCCCAAACCTCTCTTTGGTACCGCTCTTAGCCTGATCACTCACCTAAGACCTGTCCGACTTGGCCCTATCGGCATAGCTCTCAGGTTCCTCATGATATTTAAGACTCCCCACCACGTCAAGGTGGAAGTACCCTTAAAGAGGTAGTAATAGAGCTAATGAGTGAATAATTTCAGTGAAAATTTTGGCCATGTATTATTTCTGTGAAACGGGTAGTAACATAGGTGAAGGCGACTAAGCGAAACAGCGGGACTTGGGGGGACAAGTTTGGGAGAATGTTGGATTTTCTGCTAGAGTAGGGTAAAGTATTTACGTTTTCTATAAATTTAACGCCTAGGGTGAAACTTCTTTTTTTTTAAGCGGTTATTCCATATATTTAATAAAAAACAAATGACCATATGTATTTGACTTGACGAGCTTGATCGAATGTCATCTCGAGCAAATCAATTAGATAAATCTAACTATTGACTGTTAAAACAGCGCCTGGACACTTAATCGGAAGTCTGGAATTTCGGTTCTTTCCTGATAGGTTCTCAACCAGAATCTCTAGAAAAATTACTCAAGAATTTACAAATTTGGTTCTACTTAATATTTATTTTTATTCAAAGTCTGTTTTCAGCCAAACGAACATAAATATAATGTAAAAATTTCAAAAATCTATCATTGCTGAGTTTATCTCAGGCAAAATGACATTGGATATTGAGTCACCTACATCCGTGTATTATTAGAACTTGATCTGAATATTGTGGCGGGCCGAGTGAAATTTTTGGGAGATTTTTTTTCCGATTTTAGGCTATTCCGGTTGGTTAGTCCTAAAAGTGTATACGACAACATTTGTTAAACTAGGGAAGATAAATCAAATGACATCTTGGCATGGACGAGCGGACTAATTAAAAAAAATGGTGTGTTTTACCCGTGTTTCAAGCTACAACGCGTTACAAATGTTCGGGATTTCAGATTTTTCCTGTTGTGTTGTGATATTTTTCCCATCAGTTGAAGAGTATAATTTTTAAATGTGGCCGGGGATCTCTAGACAAATTACTCAAGAATTCATAACTGTGGTTCTACTTAATATTTTGATTTAATTTATAGCCTATGACCTGATAAAAAAAGTATAAATAAAAAGATAATATAATAATTTTTAACAGATATAATTTTCTATCGGAATCATTACTTGGGCGCCTGGCTTTACCAGACTTTCATCTCTAAAGAGATAAATCTAGAAGATATAAGGTACTTACCCATTGTTTGGCCATAATTGAATATTTATTCTACCATGCTAGCTCAGGTGAGAAGGAGTTAGGTTGGATATTTGTATAAAGCTCCAAAAAAGGTTGAGAGATCTATTTACAGAAAGAAATATTTACAGAATAAATACAATGTACAAGCAAAAGAATTAAAATAAAGGGAAAAAGAAAGAATTTATACATAATTACAATATACAATTAAGCATAAATAGGAAGATAATAAAAATACAAAAAAGATACTTATTCTATATACAGTAGTATGGAATTCCATAAACAAGCGAAAGTCAAGATATGACATATCAGAGCACATGCACATGCTAAAATAGGAATAAATCAACATTTAGTCACAGGAAACAAAAGAGAGATGAGTTCTATTTTTATTTTCAATGCTTCCTTAATCTTGGTTACAAATCTATGTTTTAAATCAACCAACCTAAATATGAAGTTAAATTTTCAAATGTCCCCCATTAGCCGTTGGACAATGCGGACATACAGAAAAACAATAATTTTTTTTTTTCAAAAGGTCAAATTTTTCACTATGGCAGACAACCAATTATTGGTCCAAAGGAGGATGTTGCTCTAGATGATACATTTTAGAACATGAATTAGAAATTTGACGATGGAGCACATTATTATTATTATTAAATTTAAGCCTTGCATCCACAAGAGTATTGGAATTGCAGTTCTGAAGATGGGAATAAATGTCCCGAAACGTCAACTAACTTGTTAACATGTAACGTTGATAATAAAATATACTCAATTGTTAACAACTGGAAGTTATTATTGCCAAACAACTAAAACAATTTTTTTTTAGGTTATTTGGTGTCTAATGTATGAAACGAAAATATATTATGAAACAGGTTGATTCTATTCAATATACAGACAAAACCTTTATTTTATTAATATAGATACTCGTCTATCCGGGTTTTCTTGTTGAGGAAATATTTTCCTTTTAAGCAGAGAGTATAGAGAGTAATCATGTTTTTTTTTTTTTTTCAGATCACATGGGTTCGCCGTAGAGACTGGCACATCCTCACCTCCGGTATGTTCACTTACACGAACGACGAGAGATTCCAGGTTCTCCATGCAGAAGGTTCCGATGATTGGACGCTTCAGATCAAATACGTGCAGAAGAGGGACAACGGTACCTACGAATGCCAGGTCAGTTCCAAGCCATACAAAGATAATAAGTTATAAAATTAGTGTAAATATTTCATTCAACGTCATATATGATACCGAGAAGGCATTTATACAGTGCATAAATTAGAATCGATTCCATTTTTCTTAATTAAATTTAAAAAATACACTAAAACACAAACAACAATACAAAATGAAACTTTTTTTTGCTATCAATACACTCCTGTATGAATGCTTTCGTATTTCTATCGGTAATATTGTTCACATGCTAACTATATCTTGACCAGTTACTTCAGTAAATGGCACTCAAGTCGATCTTAAAATGATAGTAATGTGGTAATAAAATACAAAAAAAAAATAATTAAAAATTTAAAAAAATGTAAAATTATTTTAATAATCCCGAAAATGTAGGGACGCCCTTTATGTACTTACGAAGGTATTGTCAATATCTTCTAAAATTAAATATCCTCAACTTTTATCAAGTTTAATTATTGAAGAAAAATATGCATAATTAGTTGTTTTTTGGTTTATTATTTTCAATAATTAACCATTGTGATCAATAGAAAAAATCAAAAACTTAACCCCTTCTCAAAATTTGAGGTTTTACATTTCTGGATACGTAGAATTCGAAAACAGACTAATTTTTTTTTTTTTGAAAAGGAGCAGGAAAAAAAGTTACGAAGGACGGTACAATTATATTCTGAACAACTAAAAAAATATACACTTTTTTGTCGATATTGTATGTTTTTTAAAAGTTAATGGAATTTCTTAAAAAAAAAAATTTAATTCTAATATTTTAAAAATTCTAATTTTTTTAGCGTATTATTAATGATTAAAAAATAAAAATTTAAACCAATAGTTAGAATCACCCTTTATTTTTAACTAGGAATGTAATGTTACTTTAGAGGTATAATTGTTTGGAAATAATAAACCATTATGAAATAATTTGCAGCACTTTTTTAAATGAAAAAATACACTAAAATAAAATATAAAATAAATAATATACATTTATGTTCAATAATAAATCTTTAATGAAAGTAAATTAGTAAAAAAAAGAAATAAAATACAAATATACATATATATGTGTTCAATAATTCAGCATGAACATTTTTGTTTTAAGTTTATTAGTAGTGTTTGTTTCCTTTACAATTAGTTCAATTTTAGGATTAAATAAAATCTGTGACTTAACAAAGTTTATAAAAATTAGTAATAATGTTCAATTCATAACAATGTAACAAAGTATGCTAGTATAACCTACAATAACAATAATAACAAATAATAAGTCTACTATAAGAACACAGTATGTTTAGTATAATCTAAACTGAAAGCAGGGTTATATCTTAAGAAAAAGTCATGTTCAGAGAATTAAGCGTTTCGTCTGCGGCATCACCACTGACTCTTTTCCGAAGGTAATGCTAAAAATTACACATGAGGCCGATTCAAAGGCGTTTCTGAAACATTCCAATAATTAGCTGATAGATTCAAGCTACCTTATACTTTACCCTCTCGTATTAAACAAAGGTAAACACCCACTGATAATATGATACAAAATTTAAAAAACTTTTAAATAATAAATTTGTTTTTATTTACTTGCTTATTGTAGCCTAGCATTCAATATTGAATATATATATATATATATATATATATATATTATTGTACTCAGTTTCTATTAAGACATTGTTCAACAAAATAATTTACAAGATCTGATAAATCTTATACAAAATATATTTGAGCCAGGCGAGGGGTAGTTACACGTTAAAGCCACAATTAATCCGATTACCGTCGGCCAATCAGCGAAGGGGATTTCTTCTCTCCTCGTAAGCTCCTTATCACAGCCAATAGGAATCCTCGTTTTATTTTTAACACTTGCCACATAATATGGTTTTGTAAAATAGGAATTTTGTTTTTACCAGACCCATTTTTTTTAATGATTTATTTGAAAGTGGTCGATTTTGTCTAATAATAAGTTCTATTTGAATGTTGCCAAATGGGATTAGAAATATTTGATTGGGAATGTAAATAATTAATTGCGGAATGGTTTTTAGAAGAGTTTGTTTCTTTGCACGTGATACATTTACAACGGAGTCACTGAGCTGGCTGACGCGTGCGCACCAACACATTGCCCAGGAACCTGATAACCGAATTTATGAATGATAAACTAATTACGAGTTCGTATCCCGGTGCTTGGGGGGAGAGATCTTTTAACTCTGACAATAATTTCCCTCTCCCACTTTTGGACCGGGAAACCCCGTATAGTCTAAAAGGTGAGGAAAAGAAAAAAAAAAAGTACGGTTTGAAAAAAAATAGGAGAGGATTATAGACATTGTGCCTAGCACAAGAGATTTTTTAAACATTTTTAGCTCCAAAACAAATGGTGGCGTATGAATTTCATCTTATTTTATTTTATATTTTTACTTCCCCTTACCTGCAAATGTAATATAGGTATTCCGTTCTTGATTCCCCAATAATCACTTTCATGTTAGGTTCAGCCAAATACGGCGCAACACTCCCACATTACCCGCACGATTATGTTGTGATGCAGGTTAGCATAATCTTATCCTCCTGTGGGAAAGTGTGCTTTCCTATGCAGTATTATTTAGTGATTTTTACTTTCACATACATATGTGATCCTAAATCCCACAAAATGTGTGTGAGGAAAGCTAAAAAAAAAATTCATAATTGAAATTACCAACTTTTTCATTAAAATCAACAAACCGGAAGCGTCACATTGTATCATCGATTTTAAAATTTTCTCAAAAACCACTTTAACGATTTTTATTAAACTTGATATATCAATGTGCAATCAATGGTATTTAATATCACCAAGGTTTTATCCTCATTGATGTCACCAAACATAGCTTTAATGTCCAATGATCAATATTTCTTTTCCCTAAAGTACCTTTAATTTGGTTTATTTTAAATAATTAACTTCCCTCATCGTTAGTCATAATTGAAAACGTCTCCATATTATAAGGATGGAAAAACAAATATTACCAGCGAAACTTTTTTTTTTTTGGTTTAATTTTTTTTATCCACACCTGTCATAGTGGTAATGTCAACCAGTGAAAGTGAGTTCGTTGAAAAAAATAATGTCATGAAAGGCATTACGAGGATTAGTGCCCAGCGGCACCTCACTCGGCATGATATTTACATTAGGCGAGGAGGTCTCTCATCCAGCTCCTCTTCAGTCTCCTACAGACGTTACCTGGTAGTGGCCATGTCATTTATAAGTGTATTAGGATGTCCTTGTAAGTTGTCATGGAATCATTTGTAATGAGTTCGTATGTGTTCGATAACAGTCGGCATGTGGAGATCAGTATGTAAGGATATGTTGCTAACGTACCAAGGTGCTTTTATAACTGTAGAAACCTAATTTAATGTCCTGACTAAATGTAAATAAAAAAAAATAGCTTTAAGTTTGAATAAAATACATATAATCTACTAAATAAGGATAATTAAACTGTTTTAAAACACTTTTATTGTACTTGTGTTAAAGAATAAGTGAAATATATAAAATATCTAATCGATGAGAAAAACATATGTTTATAATCTTTTTTTTTTTGTCTATAAAATATGTATTTGCGCCTGTCAACAATAAGTTGACAATCAGCAAATGTGATGGCGATAATGATATGATGACATGACAGGCATGGGAAGGAAAGTACTCAGCAGTATCTCTTCCCTAACTTGTTCCAATTACTTAGGTTGTCTAAGGAAAGAGATCCCTCATCCAACGCCTTTTCAGTCTCCTCCTTATGTTCAGAGGTATGTCAGCTGTGGCCATGTCTCCTATAAGTCTGTTATTATGTCCATTTAAATTTGTGTAAAATCGTTGATAAAGGGACGTTATATGTTGGTCAAATGTTCGAAAATGGAGGTCAGTATGTAGAGTTTTGTTAGTCACGTACCAAGGTGCTTTTGTTATGAGTCGCGATAATTTTGATTGGAACGTCTGAAGTTTTTGTAGGTGGGTCTTTTTAGCGATGCCGTATATTTGTGATGAGTATGTCCATATGGGTTTAAGTAAGTGTGTATATGTATTCAGTTTCTGTTCTAGTTTTAGTTTTGAAGATTTGGCAAAAAGAGAGTAAAGTAGTTTGAGTCGTTTGTTAAGTTTCATACGTTTCATTTTAACATGTGGGTCCCATATCATCCTTCTGTCGTCTTAGAACAATGAGCCATATTACACTTATGAAACTTTGTTTGAAGCTAACAGTAAAGCTAATATTTTATAAATGAGCCTGTACCAACAAACCTTTATAAGAGCATAGAAATAAAAAGAAAAAGAAAGAGGCAAATAAATAAATAATCTTAAATAAATTTCTTGAAGATTAATAATGTTATATCCGATTATATATTTAAATAACTAGGTATATATCAGTGATTTGTTCCGAAAATCGTTAAAAGACATTTTATACAAATTAATAAGTGAATGATTTGGTAAATTTTCTCCATGTGAAATCAAATTTCACAAGTGTCACAAATTTTGACGTATTTATTCTTTATTTGAATGTTAGAAAAAGAAATAAAAATAGAGTTTAAACACATGTAAAAAGTGAAATAAAGTTTAATTTGTTTCATAGTTTTTCTTGTTAAAATTTCGGAGGTCAAGGTGTGACTACTTTTCCACCTTAGGAGATAAAGAACTTCAAAATGTGAATTATAAAGGATTGACGAAGATATGACGTACAGATATAAAACAACATTGAAAAAAAAAAATGAAATGTTGTATGATTTTTTTTAAATATTATTTCAACAGTTGTAACATTTGCAATAGTTATTAAACACTTCAATAATAAGCAGCTAAACGTCAATTTTATGGAAAACATAATTATTTTACTCATATTCCTAGTAGCAGTTACATTATTAGTACAGTTGTTACATTATTAACATTTGGAACATGATAGAGAACATTAGATTTGGTATCACTGGTAGATTTCTGGTGATTAGTTTTCTCTGTACTCTTTTGAACACATTCGTCTATTTCTGGCATTGCATGTACAAGTATGATCCAAGAGGTCTTGGACTAATCGATTTCTAGACATTGTGAAATAGTACTA